TTTGAGAAAAAAAAATCAGGACATAATTATAAAAGTTTTGTTTTGAATTGCTGAATCTTAAATATTCATAGGTATTGATGAAATTGTTAATTATATAAAAAGAATAAGTTTGTTATTCAGAACAAACCTACCGAGGTTTAGAAAATCAAAGTTTTCATCAGAAATTGATGAACATTTTTCGGAAATTTAGACACCCTGTAACTCAAAAACTACAGGTAATTCTCGAATTGCCGCAAATACATATCTCAATTCACTTACAAATTGATATTCATTTTATATTGATTCTTCGAGGTATTCAAAATGTTCAGATCAGATAGTTGAAAATTGAATCAAATTATAAAGAAAAATGATCTGGTGGTTCTCAAAAAAATATAAACACTTCAACTGAAATTAAGACATGTGTTCTATGCACATTTGTTCTAGTTATTCATCTATGAAAATTTATCTGCTTGGAAATATTCACAAAAATCGGAAAACAAACTTTTATCACCCACTGAAAAGTTGATACAAATTGGCGTAATTTGAGATTTTATGGCACGTTCTGGAACACCTGAGATGGTACCCGTGAAATATCTCCCCCACCAAATCAATCCTGATTCGAATTTTTCAAATTCAATTCTAGCAAAAAAAAAAAATAAATAGTCTATTTCAGTCGGACAATAGAAACATAAGAAACTCGACATTTGGTAGGATTATGAATTAATAGCAGCTCTTGTAAACATGAATAATTGATGAATTGGATCGATTGTTTTCAACTGCCTTTCAAACATTCGATCTAGCGTGATAGAGTTCCTCAGAGGAAAACACCCTGGGTCCGTTGGTCTTCATAATTTAATTCACCCTGTACTTTGTCAAATGAGAATCGGTAAATACTGACCCAATTTATCGAGTGCCAATGAAACAGGATTTGGTGTCCCAGTTCCAGGTTTTCTCTTGACCACTTCATAGGCAAAATAAAATTGTCCAATTTTCATTACAATGAGAAATTGTGGTGCTGTAGTTTTCAAATTATTCATAGATAGCGATGGTGAAAACAGAGCCATTCATCATGTCATAATGCTAATAATGGCCAAGGATGCTTATGAATGTGAAAAAACACTCATGAATTTCTATAAATGCTCATTAATCACCATAAAAGCTCATTGATGATCATAAAAGCTCATTGATGACCATAAACTCTCATTAAAGACCATAAAAGCTCATCCATGACCATTATTGCTCATTTTTTGAAACAATATTCTTAGTCAAGGCCATCTGTGTAGGGTTGTCCCGATATTTGTACATTAATTAAGAGAGATGATAGCTACTTGCAAAATCAGAGTACCTCCAAAATAGCACCATAACCCAATTACAGAGCGATCGGAAATATGTTTCCTCAATTGAGTCGGTCTGAGCTCGATAGAAATCTATAGTTGATGGAATAACTTCACAAATTAAAAGATTTGAACAACATTCTTAAAAACACATTAACATTCCCTAACACCATACTTGTAAATTAACTGTAAGAGTATTTCACATGAAGAAGTTATTGTGTTAGCAAAATATGTCGAGTTTTTGAATTTTTTTGTAAATCTTATCGTTTGTGAAGTTTTAACATGCAAAAAGTTTATTATTCCATATCCCATCCATAGAAATAAGTAGCACGCCACTAGATATTTTTAAGAAAATCTCAAACCGCTAAATTCTTGTTTGAACTATTAAAAAAATCCATTTTTGTGAAATTTCGACATCCAAGCCGTTTTCGATTAATTTGTAGTTACATTTTTTCGAGCAGGATAAAGGATACACTGGCCACCAAATGGATTCAAAATACGTTTCATTGATATTCAATAAAGAAGTTTTCGTCGAATGTATCATTGACTATGTATTAAATATCAATGAAACGTATTTCTGAATCCGTTTGGAGACGGAATGTCCATTGGTTGGCATGTTCTGTAGACGCGAGATCAGCAGGCTTTTGTTTAGAGCTATGTCGTTAGTTTGTCTTTTTTGTAGTTTCATGATAGATTATGCGTTTTTATTAATTTATTTTTTCACTGCTCTTGTTTCTCTATAAAACCTGATGTATTATTTTATTGAACTACAAATAAACTATCATCATTATTATTATTATTGTGTATCACTCCGGGATACTGAGTGCAATAATTAATAAATAATGACCAAACTGTAGAAACGGTTCCTGACATGAAGGCTACTCAGACAGACGTAAGAAAGTCTTTCAAAGTGAAGAGAGACAAGGAAAGAGGATCAAACCAATTATTCCTAGAGGCCGAACATGTAATGTACGGAAATGATACGGAAATGATTCGGAAACGCTGCTTGGAGTTAGTGTGTTAAGCAGAAAGCCGTAGACGAAATTCTCAGTCAATCTCGGCAAGTATACAACAATCTTTTAGGCGGAAGTCTTCGCTATTGAATTGTATGTAAGAAAGTTGATTAATAGACTTCTAGCAAACGAAAACGTCAGTATTGTACCAGAAATTCAGGCTGCTCTGAAAGCACTGAGCTCCAACAAGATAAATAATAAGCTCGTATGGAACTGTCTTGAATTCATGGAGTGCCTTGGTGCTAATAACAGAGATACTTTGCTTGCCGTGGGTGCCTGGACACCAGGAGGAGGAGGGCAACAAGAAAACCGACAACCTCGCCGAACGGGGAACTGAATCTGTGTTCATAGGACCAAAACCATACTTTGGGGTCACCGCAAGTGCGGCCAAAACAACTATCACGGACTGAATTATTCTATGGCGTCCTTGCATAAACTATCGAAAAATATAACCAGGCAGATCCTAGAATCGAGCAGGAGCAACCTGCGAACTTTTACAGGGCCCCATATAGTGATAATTCTCCAAGTCGTATCCACAATATTTAATATCATCAAATCATAAATGGAAAGGGGACATGTTCTGGATTTATGGAGTATATCTCTGTTTTAATTTTCTTCATAAAAAAATTCTGTTCATGTGATTCCAATTGATGTTTTCTTCTCCACGTCAGTACCACCATGTTTTACCATTGATACCATATTATTGTTGCATTGTTCTTTGTAGAATATTTTTTTAATCGGCTGATGATGGATACTCTATAGTTCCGAGACATGTCTCCTTCCCATTTATGATTTAATTATATTAAACGTTGTGGATATGACTTAGAGTATTATTACTATATGAACTACTTCACTCCACTTTGGGATAACATGGACTTCTACAGTACATTTGACATGACTGCTCAAGGGACACTGTCGTCTAAGATATCACAACAGCATAAGGATTAAACAGCAGCTTCACTCCGTTGAAATACCTTAGTACGCGAATGACATGTGGGGATGCAAAAATCAACGAGCGAAGCAGTGGTTCAAGGTCAGCAGAAATACACTTACTCGAATGCATGTACCGCGGATACAAGGAACGCAGCTGTTTAATCATTATGCTGTGATATCAGCTAGGCAAAATGGGTCTGGACCAAAAAACAGACTTATTTCTGCTATGTGGAAGACGAAACGGCTGACCACATTATGTTCATGTTCTTGCTTAGAGAAACTAAGGTTCAACATATTGTTTGTTCAATCGTTACACATAGGGCATGACAACAAACTAGTGAGATTTAGCCCCGCCATTTAACCCTGCTACCCTGTCACTTACCCCCCAGGCACACTTAGGCTGTGTCAAGTCAGTCGTTCAGCCACAGTGGTGATACCAGAATGTTTGACTCGACTCTCATCAGAAGTTAACATGGTAACTTTGTGGGCAGGTTTAAAACGTGACCGATATTCCCAAACAGCTGGTTGGTCAGACTTCAAACTGAACGTATGTGCCTGGTCAAGTCAATCCACAGACTTGACACAGCCTTAGTCCCGCCGATTCGCCCTAACGCTCGTATAGAGTGACGTTTTATTCTTGAAAGCTCTTCGAAAGGTATTTCCAATGGTGAGGAAATATATACTGTGTTCTATTTAAATGCATACACTTTTTGCTGCATCCTGATTTTTTTGCAGTTGGTTAAAATGTATCTGTTGATTTGAAAAGAAGAAAAAATTCCTTTTAAGGTTTTTTTTACTGTCAAAAAATGAGGGTCAAAGAAGGTGGTACTTTATAACGTGCCACCCGGTACAGTGTATTGTAACCTCTAGGGGTGAGCCACTTAAAAACCCATCTGGGGCCCGATTCTCGATTCTGTAGGAATTCGATCCTATAGGAGAATGATCCAATGCTTTCAGTTCTCATAGGAAATGATAATTTGTCATGACACCTATTCTTGAGCCAGATGGAAGCGTTTTTCCCAAGGGATTGAAAAATTGCCGTATGCCGCAGGTAGATTCTTGAGCTAACATGAATTCACCAATGAAATAAGTGCTGTTGGTAACTAGTAGACGATTGAAATGAAATGTTGACATTTCGATTTTGACTAATTTTGAGGTTATATTATAATATCATTTTGCGACGGTGAGATTATTGTGTATTGTATATTCAATATATTTCCTCTGATTGAAATGGATATGGACACAAACGATATTAAAAAACCACGAGGTATTAGCAAAGACCATAAAAGACTTTTAATAGAAATAATGGAGGCCTCTGAGGACTTGAGGAAAGAAAAATTTCACCCCCAATTCACTTATAAGGATTCTAAAGTACCTACCTCTAGTAATGTCTTTGGACAAACGAAAAACTTCAATAAATTGTGCAGCAGAGAAACACTCAAATGGGTCTATTCTAGGCAAAAACCTTCTTCTAGGACTTCTAGGAAGGATTTCAGCCACTTCGAAATTTTGTAAAGCCTCTAGATGATCTATCACATCTATGTTTGCCATGTCTTGCAATATATATGTTTTCCCGATTTTACACTAGGGTTCAGTTCCCATCACAAATGAGAATAACTTCGTATTTCATGAGTGTATCCTATGGGAAACATGTTGTTCCCATGGATATTACCATGAGAAGCAGTTCTCTTGAAATGTGTAGGATCATCTCAAATTTCCATGGGAAATATCGAGTTTTTTCCACGGGAACGAATTCCAACGGATTCGAGAATCGGGCACTTGGGGTCGCGGTTTTCGCCCCACTCATATATGGAACCTAAACTAACCTAGGCGCGAGTTAACATACAAAGGCATTGTGCCGAATTTGAAAAAGAGCACACATGAATTTTATCAGAAATAACGTTTTTTCGATTGTACGCTCATTCAGTATTTCCACTTATGATGCATTTTTGGAGGTATGATAATGAAAAAAAGTCCCTTCATTTTGCGAGTTTCATCAGCTCTCAAAACCGATCCAATAACTCCGGACCATATATTTTTTAGTGAATCATGCACGAAAAACTTCCGTCAACTGAAATGGTACTATCATACAGATATTGGCCATTCATCTGGATGATAAAACTATGCAAATCACATCAACCTGTAATAAATATTTACCTAGAGTTCAGCAAAATGTGTGTTAATAATGCTACAATAAAAGAGTAACTACAAACTCTCAAGACCCCCTAATAAGAATAAAGAAGCGTTCATTTGAACATCAAATATTTAATATTTTATCAGTCACGAAAACTAGTCTTAAATATAGTATAAAATATAAAAATCATTCAGCTAACAATATAAATTCGATTAAAAATCCGAAACGCGGCGCAGAGGTCAGATAAACACTTGATGAACCCTATCGTTAAAGACTGTCAACTGCACCATCGCGTCCCACAAACATTCAACGAGTGCTTGATTGCGAATAATCAAGTGACTAAAAAACGTACCCGTCCGGGGTCAAAATCGTAAAGTATATTGATTACGCTTTGGCGCAATCGGTGCCATCTTGCAGGGAGAGCACATCTTCTTGGGGGACCCATTCTGCGAATCCCATATCCACCAAGTGCTGGTTCAGAAATATAACCGACTGGAAGAGATAAAACAATGGAAATATCATTTTTGTTCAATATACAGGGTGTCACTAATAGGTCTTTACACTTACTTACGACATATTACTCACATCAAAACAATTAGATTAGCGCAAATTTAACCAAGTATCAAGTTGTTCAGTTTGGGCGATAGACAGCTCTGAAGTTACAATTGTCAAATCGTTTTTGTTTCATAACTTTGAACCGGCACATGAGAGTCAACTTAAGTTTGGTAAGATGGCATAGCTTCATTGATGAATATTATTCCACGATCGTAGCATTTGATTATATCAGTAAATGAACATTTTTTTAAAGCAATATATCTATAATCAACGTTTGATTACAATGTGGTATGAATGCATACAATATTTCTATACATTTTTCAACTTTAATAACCTATACATTGTATAGTCCCAATTCAGGTAAACCCCTAAGCAGTATAGAATACTGGTAACGGGGAATATAACTAATAAGTAGCACATTCTGTCCTAACTGTACAATGGAAATATCATAGTAATTTATATAATTAATATTGATTTTTATACAGTTAAATTTTTCAGGTACTTTCGAATTTCCAACAGATAACTTCATTTGGTATTTCCTTAAATGCTTATGGTGTTGAATTATATACATGTACATGCACATGCACCTATTCATAGGATTATTTAGTGCAATATTTTTTCGAATATTTGGAAGGTGTATGTTATTTTGATTTCTTATGTTATGGTTATGTATTTCATTGAGGTTCGAGAAATTTATATTTGTTTTTTGTTTGTGATTCACTTTTTCCTATGTGTGTTTACATTGCTCTAAACTCAGGATTTCATTCAGTTTTTTTTTGTTTCGTATACAGTATCCGTTGGAGTTGAGTAGTTGATAGAGAATAATATTTTAATAACCTTGTTTTGCAATCTTTAAGATCGACAGAAAGTACGATTTGTAGATCATATATTCCACTTTAGTGCTCAGATATTCACTGCGTTAAAATATTGCTCAACCATGGGTAACATTTTTCTAGTTATATCATGATTTATGTGGTGCTTCCAGCTCAAATTGTCAACCAATATGAGACCTAAATATTTGAGATTGTCCAGCTCTTCACCTAATTTTATATCAACGCCACCAATGCTCACATGTTTTTGTTTGAAAATAATAAATATTGTTTTCTTCATATTGACTTTTAGTTTGTTATGTAAGAACCAGGTTTGATTTTTTTTTGATATCTTCGATTACAAGGTAATTGAACTTCAAACCAAATGGAAAGAAAAAGGTCTAAATTCAAAAGATTGGGTAACTTGTTGATGACAAAAAAGTACTCTTGATAAAATTCGATTACTCCCAAGCTTTCAACAAAACAAGAATTTCAGTAATTTAAAGCATCAGCTAACATCAAAACGATTAACAGATATGTCATGAGAATTATTCAAAATGTACATCATTTTCAGGTATACAAAGATATACGACGAAAAGAATGGATACAAGCAAACTCACCTTAGTACAAAGTGGATCAGTCTTGGTGCTAGACGGCTCTGGCTTCAGTACAAAAAAAAAAACAAAAAAAATAGCTGATAGCATATTTCGATTTTTTTTCGTCGTACGTGAAAATGATGAAAATGTGGAACAATTTTTATAAAATATCTAATTAGGAAAATTAAGAAATATCAATAGCAAATAATCATTTTCAAAAAATATTGCACGCTTTTGGTTCCCTTTAATAACTTGGTTTATTGATGAAAAGATAGGTTAGCTACTGACATTAACTAAAATTGACACATTGCCTAAGCAACAATACAAAGTTATTTATCAGCATACCTATGAAAACAGTGCGTAAGCAGAAGTTTACTGACATTTTTTGAATTGACTCGGCCGTTACTTGATAGAAATCCATAGCAAATATAAAAACTTCACGATTATCAACGATAAGGTTTCCACAAAATTCTTAATCACATGAAATGTTTTGCTATCACAAAAGCTTCATCAGGTGAAATGCTGGTACAAGGAAATAAACTAACCTTGGCTTGCCTAACTTTCATATATCCTACCTTCCCAGCCTGAAGGATTAGAATTACCTGTGGAAAGGTTCGATAAACCTTCATTTTCGGAAAATAGGCACAATATCTATAGTAAAATAAGGTGTACCGGATTAACTGTAAACGGTTGATAGCAAATACATATTATTATCTATTAAGAAAACAAATTCAACAGTGGTGAACTATTGAAGTCTAGTTGGTCGTTAAGTAAAATTTGTTTTCTTAGTAGATAATAATATGTATTTCCTATCAACCCTTTCAAGTTAATTCAGTACATCGTATTTTCCGAAAATGAAGTTTTATCGAACCTTTCCACAGATAATTCTAATCCTTCAGGTTGGGAAAGTAGGATATTTAAAAGTTAGGCAAGCCAAGGTTAGTTTATTTCGTTGTACCAGTATTTCACCTGATGAAGCTAGTGTTAGCGCAAAATATCCTGTGATTGAGAATTTTGTAGAAATCTTATCGTTTGTGAAGTTTTACATTTGCTATGGATTTCCATCAAGTAACGGCAGAATCAATTCAAAGTATAAAATATCTCACAGGAAGGAAGGAATGCTCGAAGTCATCTCCACAAATTTGTGGAGATGACTTCGAGCATTCCTTCCTTCCTGTGAAATATTTCACTCCACTTTGAGCAATATGGACTTCTACCAAAGATTATAAAATATCTGTTACGTTTTGATGTTTAATGATGCTCTAATTTTGTGGAATTCAAATTTTGTCCAAAATAACAGAATTTATCAAGAGTACCTTTTCTGTAGTGAACAAGTCACACAATCCAAATAGTATATTGTTTTATTGGGATCAGAAGTGACAAAAAAATTCGAAAGATACTGAGAGGATGAAAATAGGTGTAAGTATATAATAATAGCTATAGTTAAGCACAAAAAATTGATAAAAAAATAAGTAATGTACATACGCGCATAGCTCAGAGCGACTGAAACGAATGTCTTAATTTTTTCAAATGGGGACACCAACCGTGCGAAACCGGGCCGGACAGCTGGTTGCTCAATAAAGCTATGCCAACATACCAAATTTGGGTGAAATCTCATGAGCCGTTTCAAAGTTATGGAGCAAAAACAATTTGACAATTATTGTAACTTCAGAGCCGTGTACCGCCCAAACTAAGCAACTTTGCACCGAGGTGAGTTTGCTAGTACCAAATTGTTTTGGTCTGAGGAATATGTAGTAGTGTTTTGTAAATACCTTTTAGGAACACTCTGTATATATTGTCTTCGACCGTTTAGGGATTTCAAGCATAGCACTCTGTTTTGTTCTTCAGAAAGTAACTCAATCACCATATTCTCAATTAATTAACACAGTAGCTAACATTAATTTGCCCAACTTATACCTACAGAGTATTCATTTAATCCCGTACCCCAAGTTACCAAATTTTAAAAAAGCCATTAAAATTCATCATTATCATGTTTGTTACGATGAACAATTCAAACCAGTGTTGTCGGTAGACAGGGATTGTTAGAAGGTACTAAATAACCTACTTCAGTCCAGGAAATGCAAAATAATTCATCATGAAATCGAATTTTTGCATCAGTACAGTTCTCTTCAGAACTGTAGAATAATTTATAAATATTGAAGTAAGCTAAATAAGTTTTTTTTCTGTTTGATGGATTGACAGGTTTATTAACTTTATATGAACAATAATTTACTGAATTTAACTTTATTTTCTGATGAAGCATGGGTAGGATTTGTCTAGATATGTAAATAGCCAGAATTATCGAACATAGGCAGCAGAAAACCCCCACAAATTCATAGAAACACTTCTGCATCCCAAAACAAAAATATTGGGATCTAGATGGCTGTTTCAAGAATGATACTTGGCCCTATTTACTTCAGGAAGACAATAGCAGGTGCAAGATATCCCGTCATTTTACGAGAAGCTATTCAACAAATGCATGATGATGCTATTCTAAACAGCTATTTTCAACAAGAGCTACAGAAAACGAAACAATTCGATTTTTGGTAGAATTTAATGAAAACCGAATCATTGGTGGATGCTTGAGGCCACCCAGCGATCCGGACCTTACTCCTCTATATGTTTGGTTGTTCAAATGAAATACAAATTTCCAGACAAAGAAATAACACTCTAGAGCTGCTACAGACAGCAAATATCGAAGATTCGCAAAGTATCAAATAAAATCGTGTTTTTGGTTGTATGGAACGCAGAATTAATGTATGTTTAGATAGTGAAGGTGAACATTCATAATGATTCGATCCAGTATTATCATTTTGAGAATTGAAAGCGTTTAATTCATTGCAGCTTTAATATTTTTGTCTGTTTTTTATTCAACTTCCAAAATTCATATTGTTAACAGATTTCTTCCGTCTAGAAATTTGTTAAAATCGTTACCCTATTTTAAATCCATAGTTGGGATATTTGACTTTCAAAACTACCGCCAGTGCAAGTTTGGTTGCATCTTATAGTCACGGGGGGTACGAGATAAAATGAAGATCCTGTATTTACGGACCCAAGAGATTGAAATTGAACAAACAAAATGAATTCACGATTTAAATGATTGGAGGGCCTTCTCTTCAATTGTTTCATAAGATTCACTCTCGATATGAACAATTGAATGTGAGGTAGAAATGTGGGGTTCTCATATATTCGATGATAGATGGCTTGAAAGATGGAAAATTCCTTGAAAATTTTCAAAATACTTTTCGAATCTTATGAAGTTCAACTAGACTTTCATTGACGCGTTTCTTTTCTTTCGGGAACCAGACCCGTTAATAATTCCAAAATTTTCTGCAAGGGGATGCGCAGTCGTCCAAAATGTATCACGTGATTCATTGTAACCAATGAGCACTCAGGTATCTGAATCATTAGAAAGATTTACCTTCACTTCAACTTTTGTGGCAACCAAGGTTGGCAATGAATGAAAAATTATGATTCGATGACATCTTAACTCGACATCTGTCACGAGTGTCACGTTTTCGGCATATTTATGATTTTGCTCAATTTCAGATGAGAATATTATAAATTTTTATGAAAGATTATGAAAAAGAACATTCACCGCTTATTAACGTTGCTGCAATGTGTGAGAATTATATAAGAATCCCAAAATTCATTTCATTTCATGTACCAAAAGTGAGTAAAGAAATTATTATCACAGGATTTTCTTGAGCTAGGACTTCATGAATTTGCCATTAATAGTCGAAAATATAACGTACCGTTCCCATTTCCACCAAATATTGTAAACATGAAAATGTTAAGTCAAATGAAACTGTCTTGATGCCTGTAAATTTTGTTTGAAACTTCGGAAATTTAGCAAGATTCTCCCACGCCTCGCCATTTTTACGAAGCAGGCGATATAGAGAGATTTCTTATTTCCTTTCAATAGGAAGTGATTTCACCATTTGAATGTCTATACATCTACAGGATGTTCACCGACGTATATCTGAGAGCAGGTGATAAATAATTTGATTCTGAACATACTTAACTATATATACTATTATACAGTGTTACAATTTTCTAGAAATCATCACTTATAAATTCGAAGTTGGATGTTACAGAAAATCGTGTTTTGAATTCTGGCGAGCCTGAACATTACTTTATCTTAAAAAATTTATCATTTCTGAACGAAATAGATAACTTTTTTTTTTTCAACTTTTGATTTATATTCAAATTGATTTTTGCTCACCAATATGAAATGATTTGTCAAAATTTAATAATTAATGTTTTCAAATATTTTATTATTCATCAGTTTATTATAATTGTATAGTTTTAGGTATTATTGTTAACTATACTTCCTTATACCAGAACTTGATTCTGACTGGAAGTAACATTTTCAATAAATAAATAAATAAATAAATAAATAAATAAATAATCACATTTCACACTTTTGTTACAAGTCTCAGTATGGGGCGTTATCTCTGGTATTAGTGGAAATAAACAACGTATTTTTCAGGATCCCTTGATGAACTGAAAATGTTTCATTTGCTCCTTATTCGCTGACTTTCAAGATAAATTGATCGAAGTAAAATAAAAATGTATGCAATAAAATCATAGTCAGGTAATCCCACCCTCACCAAATAAAGGTTTGATCACTTTGAAGTAGTCAGCCTCCAATATGGAATTGTAGTATTAGTTACTTCCTTCAGAACAAAACAGGGTGATATATGTATAGTTGAAAGGTGATTTTACAAAAATTATAGTCCTCCCTTTGGACGGAAACATAAATAGCGAAAAATTTGTGGGAAGCATTAAAAACAAAGTATATTAGTTATATTTCAAGCTGTGTAATGTGATCATTATTCCATAGGTTCTATTTAACCTCCATAAATAAGATGATTGTATATTGGTCAATCTTACCTGAGGTCCCACAACAATGTAAATTAATACTAGTGGCGTTCCGTTTTCAGTGTAATCAGCTACTTGCGTGTACATTATCGAACCTTTGGCTACGTCAGCTACCAAATTGTAGGCCTCTTCTGGCCATGAACCGTCCTCTGAAAATGCGAGAATTACATCGGTCAATAATGCTTCGTCTTCTCAGAACGAGGGATGAACTGGTCAACAAAATGTACATCATGGTGCATAATTCAACCCGGATTGATCATCCACTGAAGGAGAAATTTAATCGAGTCAGTCACACCTTGTTTGAAAAATATTTGAGGAATGAGAATAAAGGTATATTGAAAAATATTGAATGCCACTTATCTTTGAACGTTTCAGGACCGAATCTGCTCCCATTTACAACATAAAGATGAAAAATTTTTCTTGCAGTTGATGTTCTTTTTCGACATTTGACAGTTCTCAATGACCGAAGTTGATAGAACAATTTGTGAGCTACAAGGTGTTTCACAGTTGATCTTGAATTTACAAGATGACTCTTTGATAAAAATTTCAAGAACCTCCCAGAAAAAATTACTAGTCCGTTTTCGTTCAATTTGCGGGAAACAAAATTCACATTAAAATGTCAAGTGTGTCATGCTCTGGAATTAGTTTCTGTGAGCTAGTCGAAATGATCGTTATTATGTTCTGCTGTTTTCATCACCAATAAAAGCATTACCGGAATAGTTATATTATTTCAATTGACATATTTTTGCTATTTACCATGCCATGTTCAGCATTGCCAAAAATTGCTCATGCTCTTACGTGAATGCTTAGTGATGATAGCAAATAATCAAAATGCTAATTGTGGAGCTCAAAAATTTTATCTAATCACTTTGATGAATAACTTTCAGAAGCTTTGTTGTCAACACAATCTATTTTTTCATATATGCACCACAACAAAACACAACCATCAATACCTATATAAAACCATGAATTCCAGGCATATTGAAAAAAATTGAAGTGTTAGTAATAAGTTTCAGGTATAAGCTGTGTTCAAATGAGGAATAATCATAAAACATTGTATTCACAGTACCTTGTGTTTGTGGAAAGTATTATACAGGTACAATAGCATTGTTTTCTGTTTAGTTGATATAAATAGAACTAATACTAAAATCTGGATATGAGAATGGTGAATGGAAGATAATTTATAAAAACATCCTGTAACTTATTCGTATGCATCAACATCTATCACTGAGAAGTGTCAACACTGAAATCATAAAACAATTCGAGAAGAATAATATTTACCAATTTTTATGTTAGTTACTAGATTCGTACCAGAAACGTCCAAGGCTGTGAAAAAATTCGATATTATTGATTACATCCTTATTTCTCTTTATCAAACATATTTCAAAACAAGGTGTCACTGACAATCAATTGAATTTTTCAGTGACATTTTGCAGCAAATCATCTGATTTGACCTTACTACACATATATTGAATACTCATATTCTGATTTGTAGAAACATGGAGAACAAATCTGAAAACATCTGGCTTAATGAATATCGCAAAAGTGGTTGAAAACAGTCACAGAAATTTGAAAAACATCAAAATTGAAGATTATGAGTGACAAAATGTAGACAAAAATCCCACCACTAATTCCATTTCCGGCAGAGGTAATTTGACAATTTCTCATTTTTTTGTAATCACAAAATCTCACTCACCGCTCGCAGATACGACATTGGCCAACATGCACTCGGCCGCCTGGAAGGGCAACAGCATAAAGTCGCCCCTGATCTGCCTCAACTTCGAATTTTCGACGTGCGCAAAGCCGCCATAATCCAAAAATTTGACGTACGACGTTTGGGCCGCTTCGTCAGTGCCGAGCACCGTCGCTCTGTACCAAGCATCGACAGAGTAGGCGGCGCACACCTGACGAAAGAAAAAAAAAGATCAATTAATAAATCATCAAGATCCAATCCTAAACGCCAGACAGGGACCATTGGGAAGAGTTGTGTTCAGCCCTCACACTAAATAACAATAGATGGAATCCACGATGCATTCATAAATCATTTGAAAAGTATACGCCAAAAATAGTAAGAGCTAAACACGGATTAGTGAATGAAATCGCGAATGGTGGGGATATTTTTGCGGAATCATTGTTGTTCGGGGATCTGACATAGCGCGACACGACTATGTCGTTCGGGGTGGATTCATTCAATGCCAGTTAGGGACCATTGGTCAGAGTTGTGTTCAGTCATCACACTAAATATCGATGGATAGACACCAAGATGCATTCATTAATCATTTGAAAAGTATACGCCAAAAATCGTAAGAGCCAAACACGGATGAATGAATGAAATCGCGAATGGTGGGGATATTTCTGCGGAATCATTGTTGTTCGGGGATCTGACATAGCGCGACACGACTATGTCGTTCGGGGTGGATTCATTCAATGCCAGTTAGGGACCATTGGGAAGAGTTGTGTTCAGTCATCACACTAAATATCGATGGATAGACACCAAGATGCATTCATTTATCATTTGAAAAGAATATGCCAAAAATCGTAAGAGCCAAACACGGATTAGTGAATGAAATCGCGAATGGTGGGGATATTTCTGCGGAATCATTGTTGTTCGGGGATCTGACATAGCGCGACACGACTATGTCGTTCGGGGTGGATTCATTCAATGCCAGTTAGGGACCATTGGGAAGAGTTGTGTTCAGCCCTTACACTAAATATCAATGGATAGACACCACGATGCATTCATAAATCATTTGACAAGTATACGCCAAAAATCGTAAGAGCCAAACACGGATTAGTGAATGAAATCGCGAATGGTGGGGATATTTTTGCGGAATCATTGTTGTTCGGGGATCTGACATAGCGCGACACGACTATGTCGTTCGGGGTGGATTCATTCAATGCCAGTTAGGGACCATTGGGAAGAGTTGTGTTCAGTCATCACACTAAATATCGATGGACAGACACCCAAGATGCATTCATTAATCATTTGAAAAGTATACGCCAAAAATCGTAAGAGCCAAACACGGATTAGTGAATGAAATCGCGAATGGTGGGGATATTTCTGCGGAATCATTGTTGTTCGGGGATCTGACATAGCGCGACACGACTATGTCGTTCGGGGTGGATTCATTCAATGCCAGACAGGGACCATTGGGAAGAGTTGTGTTCAGCCCTCACACTGAGTAACAATAGATAGACACCACGATGCATTCATAAATCATTTGACAAGTATACGCCAAAAATCGTAAGAGCCAAACACGGATGAATGAATGAAATCGTGAAAGGTGGGGATATTTCTGCGGAATCATTGTTGTTCTTGGATCTGACGTAGCGCGATAACACTATGTCGTTCGGAGTGGATTCATTCAATGCCAGACAGGGACCATTGGGAAGAGTTGTGTTCAGCCCTCACACTAAATAACAATAGATGGAATCCACGATGCATTCATAAATCATTTGAAAAGTATACGCCAAAAATCGTAAGAGCCAAACACGGATTAGAGAATGGAATCGCGAATGGTGGGGATATTTCTGCGGAATCATTTATATTCTGGGATCTGACGTCGCGCGACACCACTATGTCGATCGGGGCGAAAGTTATGTGGAAGGGTTCAGCCCTCAGGCTGAATAACAATAGAAAGACACCGTGGTGCATTCATAAATCATTGAGAAGTATACGCCAACAATCCTAAACGACACACAGGGGTAAATCAATGAAATTGCGAATGGTAGTTATAATTTCGCATAAAGTGGATCCTGACCTGTCTCAACTTGGAGTTGTCGACGGGCGCAAAGCAAAGTCAAAGACAAAGTTTCTATGAATCTCTATGTATTTCAGGTAGATTGGAAATGATCGACTATAACGGCGTACCAATTTTCATGTTTCCAGTCCAACTGCAAGTTGGAAAACTTTCAATCTGTGAACTATGCAGATCACCCTGTATAAAAGACCCCACTATTACAATCAAAGTGCGACCAATTATACCGATTTAGACAATTGAATATTTCATTGCTGGTTACTCTTTTTTCACTGGTCCAAATGACATTTCGAAGGAAATTCTCATTTTCATGACACATTTTTATTCTGCGTTTCTGATATAAAAATGTGATAAACTGAAACCGTTGAAGATTTATCGTCACCAACTGAATTGAATATTACCTGAAAACATTCCAATATTAATCTAAAGCAGCGTTCACAACCATACTGTTTACGTTTTGCTTTTTACGTTTCGTACACTGACTGGCGAAGCAAAATCTGGAATTGAAATTATATTTCAGATATTAGCGCTGGAAGATGCTATCGTCTGTGAAAATGCTAAAAATAGACAAAATGACCGAAAATCTCTTGCTTTCCATGCTAACTTAAAATGTCATCAAAAGGTAATTTTTAAAGAAAAATGTGTTAGATTGACAAAAATATTATTATTTCGAAATATATATTTTTAGAGAACGTTTTTTTCTTTTGATTTTCTGAAGTCAAAGCCAAATATGGTTTCTATTTGAAATAACAAAGTTGGCTTTGATATAATTGATAAGCTGTATATGTATTCCTGACATATGTATCTCATTCAACGTCAAAAAGTGCCTGTAGAAGTTTTCACCAAAAATAAAAGTTTTGACAATTTTTCGAAATAGGTCAAATGTAAATTTTCTCCTATCTATACTAATATTGTAGAGGAAAGATTTGTTTGTATTGAATAGGCTCCGAAACTACTGGACCGATTTGAAAAATTTCACCATTAGAAGCCGACATTATCCCTGATGAACATAGGCTACTTTTAACCGCGGGAAAATACTTTTTACATGACTTCCTAAACGGCTGATCCGATTTGGGTTGAACTTTTATACAGGTATTTCGATGGTATCCTGGATGATTTAAAAGTAAAATTGGGCGCGGTTGTCTGTACTACAACTACTAAACGCAGCTCAACCGATTGGGTTGACATTTTTAATAAGCAAAACAACAAAAAAATACGAAATATACTGAGAGAATCAAAATAGGTGTGAGTATATAGTAATAGCTATAGGTTGCTCCGGCTCGCAAACGCAAATATCGGTTGTCAAACGAGTTACTTTTGATCCAAATGAAACATGCTATTTTTTCTGCAATCCAAATAAGTGATATTTAATTAATGAAATATGAGTTACCACTATTTTGAGTCACTGGAGCATGTCAGTGTCAAAGCAGGTAACATATCAGCTGTCATCCGACACTAGGAGTGAAACTTCAACTTTAGCTCTGAAAGTGTTCAACTACAAAATAGCCACAATGCTCAAAGTGGAATGAAATGTTAAATACATACAAAAAGCTCAGTCATTTCCACACAATGTTCATAAATGAACAACAATGGTAGATTTCGGGAGAAAAACAACTACTTTCCTGGCTAATGCCATGCAGAACATTGTATTAAATCCCCCGAAATCTATGCATCCACTCGTATAAACGAATACTGATACAAGTGATTCTTTCCGGAATGCTTATTCGATTTAGCCAGGCCACGCTAGACAACCACAGACCGGTTTCGAGCTCTTTGACTCTCATCAGTGCAGTGTAGTCTCCAGCCAGCAGTCCTAAGACCGCCGACTCAGCGCAGCATAGCCAAACCAAAATCGAGTCGTCCTTATATTCTCCCAGAGGCATCTTTCATCGACAATATGAAAGCAACGACATCTAAGTAGAACAGAAGGAAAGAATCACTCAAAAATGAAATTCCCATACGGGAGTGGCTGGTTGCCCGACTGGCGTAATTTCAACTACGAAATAGCCATAATGCTCAAAGTGGAATGAAATTTTTGAGTGATTTTTGAGACCAGTCGGCAAGTTTTTTTCTAGCTGTTCTGGAAATACGAAAAACTGTCAAAATCGAGCAATTTGGGACACCCTGTATATACGAAAGATACGTACCGTGTTCTCTGGTATTGGGCTGGGGAGGAACGGCGATTCCGCCTCGCTGTAGCAAGCGTTCATGTAGTTGCCGAGCACGTTGAGATTGGGAAACGAGGGGTGAGTCGGCTGTTGCAGGAACAGGTGATTGGGGGTGACGATGCAGCTCAGGATGGTGTCGTTGTTGATGCCTTCGACGAGTTTCAGCTGCAAAAAAGAGCGTCATCAGAAAAAAAAATATACGCTCCACTATGGGCGCCGCCAGAAAAAATTCCACTCATGTAATAATTCAGGTATGTTCAGAATGAAACATAGATTTATTAATTTTGATCTAAATATGATGGTTGTAAATAAAATAGTATACAAACCTCGGTAGGAAGTTTCATTCCTGTCTCGAAATTATAGCTAACCACGACGCTTTGCGTGTCGGTTAACTAACTAATCTCACGACAGGAATGAATCACTTCCTACCTCGGTGTGTAATATACTATTCCACAAATAACACTGAAAAATGAACATCTTTTATCAATTCAGATTTTTATTTCCATCGAAGGAGCAATGCCATTCACCATGTATATTCAGCATTGTTCAGCATATTACTGAAATTTTGATATATCAAGTATAGCCTAGGAGTTCAGTTGTCAAACAAACTGAAAGAAAATTCGACTTGGCTGTCAGAAAATAAATGCTGTATCAAGAATTCCAGGTGAAATTGTGAATTACTACAAAACCGAATGTGACATTGGATAGGAAGCTTCTATCCTGCCTGCATGAAGTTAAGAAGGAATGATGTTTTAAAATATTCAAACCTCATGAATATCGCACATAATACCATTGAACAATCATTGAATTGGTACATCATATCGTATCGACCGCCATAGCTGAAATTTTTTCGATTGGTCAAAAAATGTGTCCTTACCGAAACTTATAATTGTTTGAATTCTTGGTCTAATCAACACATGACAGTGACAGCTCACGTATTATTTGTGTTATGACATTTTTATCAGTATCAATATGAATCAGATTATTCCAAACATTTTTCACAAAATTTCTTTCAGCTGTAATGAGAATTGCAGTTTCAACTATATTTGGTATATTTCGTTAATTAATCAATCAATCAATCAATCAATTTATTCATCCTGTGGAACTCACAAAGGTTATAGGACAAGTCAAATTATAGAACCTAAATATAAGTACACAGATGCATACTAATGTAAGTGGTTAACAGTTAAATAAAATAGTTAAATAAAATAGCATCAACTAAAACAATACGAAAGCTCTTATAAATAGCAGCACTAGACATGTGACGTATACAATCATACATATAAGATTAAAATGTTGATGACAATCGGTCAAATCTAAAATTCAAAAAAATATTTTTGTACAACTAAATCGATTCTATAAAATCTTGTATTGAGTAAGGACATAGATCTATTAGAACTTTTTTCAGTTGAAGTTTGAAGGTATGATTTGGCAGACTTCTAAGATTGTGAGGAAGGAAGTTGTACAAGTACAAACCAAAGACGTGTGGTGCTCTTTTGGATAATTCCAGATGCTTGAAGGGCACGTGGAAGTTATCTTTTTTTCCTTGTATTATGAGTATGAGTGTTACTTTTTCTTAAGAAGGTATCTCCATTGCAATGTACGTATGTCAATAGCTGAAAAACAATTTGTTGAAAAAACTTCCGACACGAGTAATTAGGTGGACAGCCCACAAGACATCTTATGATGCGCTTCTGAGATAGGAAAACACTGTGTGCAGCTGGAGTGTTTCCCCATACTATAATTATTCCATATAAAATTCTGGAGTGGATTTCGGCATAGTAATATTTGAGGAGGTGGTTCAGACTCAATGCACTTTTTAGGTTTCTTAATTGATAGCACTTCAATTGCATATGCATCGGTATCTGTGTGTATATTGCATAATATCATTGACACTATTGACAGCTTTTTCTACCAAAGTAAAATTTCTTTATCAATTCATCATTATCTAACTAGGTTTTAAAAGTGTTACTTCTCATTAGAGGAAATCTTCGAATGATGGTGATTTCTCAGGTTAGTGGCAGAAAAATCTTTTTCATGAATTTTTAATAAGAATGGTTTAAACTCGGGATTGAAAATATTATGAAAAAGATATGTAGCTCAAGCATAGATTAGTTCAATACGAAACACCAGGCGCGTATACAGATTCGTTCCATTGGGGTGGAGGGTAATTCGTTGCGCGGGGTGTCAGGAAGCAAGAAAGCGCCGTAGGCGAATGTTTTGGTGTTCAAGGTCAAATACCTTCAAATTGAAAGATAGGTTTGTCAGCGAAGTATCAGAAAGCTGTGAAAAAATCATTTTCAAGTTCAGTTTGTTTAATTCACCTGGAAATTAGGATTTTCCAATGGCAACAGAAATCGAATTATAGATGTCTAGTTTTCTTAGACCCAAAAAAAATCCTTGAGTGTAATTTGGTGAGACAAATTTACAGTGAAACTTGATTATTTCGAACGATTATTTAATGCATGCAAATTGGTTGAAATTTGAAAAAAATTATACCGCAGAAAAATTTGCATACTGTGCAATTGAGTAGGAAGTCCCAAAATTATCACTTGTATATGTAGTTATAAATAAAACTTTCCTGCGTAATCAATTTATTGAACTAAAGAAAAAACAATTAGCGGGCGTTATGATTCATACTGCCCTCCATAACGCCCTAGGGCGTTACGGGTCTGGTAATAGCAACCGTTGCCAAGGTAATATAGAGCTGTAATGGACATGTGAAAAATGAAAAAATGAACCGCAGACCTAATAAGGTCGAAAGTCTGTTGAAAGTCATAACTCTTGATTATTATTTTTTTCTACAACTATTTATCCCCAACATAAAAAACATGTGAAAATATTGAAGAGTTGTTAGGGTAGGGAAGATCAATAACAGCTGAGAGAGAAATCAATGTCAAAACACACACACCCAAGAATGAGCTTATCTTTAGACCACTAAAAATGTACTTCAATAGATTCGCGCAGAGTGATTACGCCGATAATAGATAATTTAGTAGTTTAATATTTCTCAAGTTGTTGTTACAACAGTATCAGTATTATTGTGCTTTATCTTTAAACAATCGAGCTAGCACGACGAAATTACTACTTTGTATGCACAAAGTTAACAATTTAACCAATAATTATTAATAGCAATTTGAATATTCCAATTGTAATGCTGACAGTAAACTAAATGTATGATAACTGGAAACATCATTAGATGATTTACGAGTACTATCTCATATTTTGTAGAAAATTACCTACCATTATGTTTTATCATGAATGTAATAATACTGCAAACGTTACTTTAGTGAACTTCAATATCGAAAATACAATATTTGTATTTTTCTAATATCCTAATGAACGACACCAAGCTTCAACCGATGAGCAAAAGCTATCGAAAATTTCAAGTTCAATTTTGCATTGTTTTATTCATGCAGAAATTTGTAGTTCAACAGTTGACGTGAATGATTCACGTATCCATTCTCTATTCCCGTCTAAAGACAAAGTCAGAATATGAAGTTCTTGAAAGTGACATTTTGACATAATCTATACCTTTTAACTGGAAAAATAATCACATAATTTACAAGTACTATCTTCTAGTTTTTAAGGAAAAGTACCAAATTGACTCGCTGATTCATTATGTTTTATCATAAGGAATGTTAACAATAATGCTGCAAACGTTACTCTAATATAATATAATAAATAATAAAGAGTACAATGTTTGTCTTTTTCTAATACCCTCATGGGCCTCATGATCGAGACGCATGTTTCAACAGATGAGCAAAAACTATTGAATACAAAAAGTTCAATTCTGCATTTTTATTCATGCAGAAATCTGTCTATCTACAGTTGACGTTAACGCATCATATACGATGAGACTCACGTATTAATTCTCTATTTCCGTCTGAAGACAATGTCAGAATAATTCTGAATGTCATTTGACATTTGAAGTTCTTGGCAAATGACACTTTGACATAGCCTATACCTTCATATTTCCATGACGGTGTTTTTGACTCCTTTGAAGAGAAAAACATGATTGTCTTGGCAATAATAATATTAGTATCATTTATACTTGTATTAAGTACAAATCAGATGATTTGCCTCAAATTGTCACTGCACTCAAAATTTGACTATCAGTAAACCGAATATAATATGATAACATTGACAACTTCAAAGATCAGTAGATAAATTACTAGTACTGGTTTGTAGGAAATGTACCTACTCATCTCGCTGAATCATTATGTAACAGTTGACGTTGCATTCTAACTGTGAACATCCATATTTTGGAACACGTCTTGCATAGTATAGATAGATAGTTAGATACTTTATTCGTTTTCCATTTAAAACATTCACATGTGGAATATAAATGAACAAACACGTCAAAAACACTTGATATCAGACAAAACATGAATAAATAAATGGTCTATGGAGACAAATATACAAAATGAAGTATTATAATCCAAATAAAAAATCCGTCTGGTGAATAACAGCATAAAACTTTCTTCAATCTATATTTTTGAAAATAAAAACTCCTTTGATGAAGTGTGGTGGAGTGAGAGTTGGGTTGTACCAAATTGCATACCGAGTGTTATGATCATACTTTGTTTGGTAGGCAAGTTGAAATGCTATTCAGATTCTCCCTGAAGAGCTAACTTCATTGACCTATATTATTTGGGGTCTAGCAGTGATAATTATTGAGATATAGGGTGTGAAAAATCGTGATTTTTCAACTTCAAGATTTTTTTGTGTCGAAACTATTCATAATTGGTCAAAACGGTTTCCATGTCCCTATCTCAACTTTTTATTTACTATCAATTGATATTTGAGTGAAATGAGTACATATCAATTGATAGTACATGAAAAGGTGAGATAAGGACATAAAAACCGTTTTGACTAATTATGAATAGTTTCGACACAAGAAATTCTTGAAGTTGACACCGTATATCTTTGTTATCATTCCCGCTAGACCCAAAGTGTAATGGATCGATGAAATCAGTTCTTTAGGAAGAATCTGAAGATAAAATGATACATAGGGTGTCTCTTTCAAAAAATTGAAGATGTTGCTACTTTTCAGTATAAGCGGCAACGTCGCAGTGTTGAGAATATTTTTGGTCGATAGAACACAATTAATTATACAAAAAACCAAATTTTCAGTATAATCCTACGTTGCGTTCTCCAGAAAG